TAGATCACTAAAAAATTGGACTTGTTTTGCTGTTAATATGTTTTTCCATATGTTAGTGAGATTGAACATTTTGATGGTATTTCATCATCTGTAAATTGTTCAGTTACATTGTTTGCCTTTTTCTGTTGTGTGTGTTTCTTATCCATTTGTATAACCTACTCTTATATTAGTGATGACAGTGTCTGTCTTATCTGTTGCAATTCTTTGCCCCAGTTGGTTTTTCTTTTGACTTGAAAGGCCATTTCTCCCCCTTCCCTTGCCTTCCCTCTTCCCCTTGCTCTCCTTTCCTTCCTAACTTTTGCAGCCATATCTGTCCTTTTTCTCCTTCCTGATTTTTAGGTTTCCTATCTTCCTATCTTATGTGAGTCCCCCAACCCCAGTTATGCTCCCAAGTTTTCTTATATTTTCTTAGTTTCCATTGTTGTCTTAGATTTTGTTCCTTCTTGAAATTTTCTCTTTTGGAGTATACACTGTGAGGGGCTCATTTATTTTCTTTCTGGTGGGTAGCCAACTTTACAAATCCTCTGTGGTAAATAAACAATTTCTCCCCACTGAAGTGAAGTGCTACTTTTATCTTTAATTAATTTTCTATATAAACTTGAAATTGTTTTAGGATAATCAGTGTTCTGTTAATCACTGTGTATATGCTTAGTGTTTAATCACAGTAGCTTTATGGCAAATCTTACTGTACGATAGAGCATGGCCCACTTCATAGCTTTTCCCTTTCCAAACTTTCATAGTAGTTTTTCACATACCAATCAGAATTATATTTAGTCCTGTTTTCTTCTCCAGGCTCTATTTGCTTCTGACTGAAAATGACATTAGGTAGGGGAGCTTGGGTGGCTCAGTCAGTTGAGCATCAGACTCTTGGTTTTGGCTCAGGTCATGATCTCAGGGTTGTGAGACTGAGCCCCATGGCAGGCTCCACGCTCAGCAGGGAGTCTGCTTAAGATTCTCTCTCCCTTCACCTCTGCCCCCCTCCTCACGCACTCTCTAAATAAATAAAGTCTTAACAAAATGACATTAGGTATACATTTTATTTTAGCAAGGATTAACATTTCTGTATGCAGCATTCCTCCAGAAACAAAGTACATCTCTCTGTTTATTCAGGCCTTGTTTTATATCCTACGTCGTGTGTTTTGTTTTGTTTTGTTTTTAAGATTTTATTTATTAGAATGAGAGAGAGAGCATGAGAGCGGGGTGGGTCAGAGGGAGAAGCAGACTCCCTGCTGAGCGGGGAGCCCTGATGCGGCACTCGATCCGGAGACTCCAGGATCATGACCTGAGCCGAAGGCAGTCGCTTAACCAACGGAGCCACCCAGGCGCCCATATATCGTGTGTTTTATCCTATACATTTTGTTGCCCTTTTGAATAACTGGTTATTGCTGGTTGTAAAATAGTTAATGTATAAATATGACAAAATTTCATTATTAGGTCTACTCATTTGTAGTTAATTTCTTGGGCTTTTCTAAGTACATAGCTATAGTTGCCTCTGCGTTCTCTTTGTCTCCAGTGCAGGTTTGTCGCCTTATTGTGTGTAGAATGAGTCATAGGGACGGGTGATTCTTAATGATGACAGGTATTTCACAGCTTGATATGTTTGCCAGTGTTTTTTTTATTGCCTTATTTTTCCCTTGTTGTAATTAACATGTAGTGACATCAAGTGTTCAGTTTAATGAATTTTAACAATTTGGTACCATCATCCTTAACAAGAAATTTAACATTTCTGTCATCCTAGAATGTTCCATCCAAGAATGTTCCAGATCTCCATCATCACTCCCTGCCCCCCAAAAAAGAAACAACTACTTTCTCACTTCTGTTACGATAGATTTGTATCTCATTTAGCACAGCTTTAAGATTCATCTCTGTTGTTGGTAGTTTATTATTTTTTTCTCTCTTTTTTAAGCTATGTAACATTCCATTTTGTGAATAAACCACAGTTTGTTTATCCATTTTTTTGTTGATTTCAGTACAGTCGTTTTCAGTTTGGGGCTATTATGAACAAAGCTTCCATGAACATACTTGTACAAGTGTCTCTGTATACATATGCTTTTATTTCTTTGGGGTGAATATAAGGAGTATTTTAACTATATAAAAAGGTAAAACTGCAGAACAGTTGTTCCACATGAATATACTGTTTTACACTTTGCCAAGCAGTATATGAAAGTTCTTGTTGTTCCACATCCTTGTCAACATTCGGTGTTTTCAGTCTTGTGGCCCTTTTAATTGGTGTGAAATGGTAGCTCGTTTCGTTTTAATTTCATACTCTTGATGGCTAATGTTGTTGAGCCACACATTCGTGTATTTCCTGCCCATTGGCTTATCTTTTTTTTTTTTTGGCTTATCTTTTTGTGGGAGTTTTTCTGTTAAAGTCATTAACCCGGGGCACCTGGGTGGCTCAGTGGGTTAAGCGTCTGCCTTCCCCTCAGGTCATGATCCCGGGGTCCTGGGAATGGGCTCCCTGCTTGGTGGAGAGCCTGCTTCTCCCTCCCCCTCTGCCTGTCGCTCTGCCTACTTGTGCTCTCTCTCTATTTCTCTGTCAAATAAATAAAATCTTTAAAAATAAATAAATATGTAAAGTCATTAACCCATCTTAAAAAAAGATGCTTTGTTCTTTTCATTTTGATTTATAACGGTTCTTTGCCAGATAGTGTGCTGTAAATGCTGCCTCCACGCTCCATCTTGTCTTTTCATTATCTTGGTGGTACCTTTCAAAGAGCAAGAAATGTTTAAATTTTGATGGAGTTCGGTTTATCAAGTTTTTCTTCAAAGGTTCTTGTTTTTTATGACCAAAGAATTCTTTGTTTATTGTAAAATTTTGACAATTATCCTCTTTTTTTCTAGATGTTTTAGAGTTTTAAAAACACTCTTAGGTTTAGGTCTCTTATCTCTTTCCAGTTAACTTTTGCATATGTGGGATGAGTTTAGGTTTTTTTTTTTCCCCAGCATAGGTATTCAGTTTTTTAACTGTTAAAAAGGCTTTCCTTTCTCCTACTGAATTGACTTGATGACTTAGTACTGACTGTATATGCATGTGTCTATCTGGATATTTTCTGCTCATTCATTGATTGATTTGTGTGTCTTTAAGCTGGTTCCATACTGTTGTGAATACTGCAGCTTTGTAATAAGTCTTGAAATCAGGTAGTATAAGTCCTCCAACTTGTGTTCTTTTTCAAAATCGCTTTGGCTTTTCTAGGCTCTTTGCATTTCCATATAAATTTTAATAACACCTTGTCAGTTTCTGCAAAAATATCTGAGATTTTTATTGAGTTTGTGGGATTTGGGGTGCATGGCCATCTTAAGAATACCAAGCTTTCCGGTCCATGATCGTGTATATTTCTCCATTTATAACAGCCTTTGTACATATGTTCTGTTTCATTTTATGCAGAAGCACTTATTGTAGCAATGATGGCAGAACCTTTCTTTAAAAATAGTGTGAGGTCTTTCTGCAGCTTTGGATTTATTTTGTTTGAGATATATATAAGTTTAATGGCCATCAAGTTAGTGTCAAAAGCCTGGGATGATGTCTAGAAAATGCTGCTGAGAGTTCTGTTTCCTGCAGCTCTCTGGATAGAGAATCCCCTCTTGAACTGAGGGGAAAGAAGGATAATTGGGACTGAGAGAGAAAGAGGAATAATTATTCCCTTGCCCGATGGAAGTGTGCCCATGAGTAGGAAGAAACCAAGTGACATAAACCCAAATTTTCTTTGATTACCTACTGATATGATGTCTAAAATAGGAGTGGGAGGAGCCTATCAAAGTGCTGACATTTTGAAGCATTTGCCCATCTTTGCCAACTACTTACAGAAGGACAGTGGCCCAAGACTTTGCAGACTTGTGTATCTTCAGTAAAATAATGGCTTTGCTTTTTATGGAATAAAATGGGAGGCCAGGAGAGGGAGTGCAAGATTCAAACTCTTTTGTATCTGAACTTAGGACAGAAGTGAGAGAGGGGCTTTGGAGCCACAATGGCTCCTTCTAACAATTCCCTGTAGTTCCTGCATACTCTTTATTGATATTTCAGATATCACAGTGAATTCCAGGTAAGCATCTGGGAATGGTTATCACATGGAGAGGTATCCTGCTGTGCAGTTAGCCTTAATAAAGCTCACAGTGATTGTGAAGAACTCTTAAATTTTTTTATCTGGGGATTTTTTTGGTCTGTCTCTAATATTTATTATTTAAAGAACCTATTTTTTTTAACTGTTAACCTAGTAGCCAAGACTTAAATAAATCTCTATCTTGAAATCCAAACATTAATTTTTTAATAATATATACTTTCTTCTGAACTCTGTGCTCTTAAAATCTAGAGATCTATGTTGTCTTGTTTTGAGAACTTAATTTATAATGTCGCCCTATCTATTGTTATGAATTGTAATTTAATGAAATTGCTTTGTTTTTCCCTGAGAATCTCTGTAAGAGGATAGAGAGTGTCCTGAAGAAAATACTAATTTCAACTCTTAAAACTTCTTGTGGGGCGCCTGGGTGGCTCAGTCGTTAAGCGTCTGCCTTTGGCTCAGGTCATGATCTCAGGGTCCTGGGATCGAGCCCCACATTGGGCTTCCTGCTCGGCGGGAAGCCTGCTTCTCCCTCTTCCACTCCCCCTGCTTGTGTTCCCTCTCTCACTGTGTCTGTCAAATAAATAAAATCTTAAAAAAAAAAACACAACTCTTCTTGTGTGAGAAATTTCCTGGCATTTTTTTAAAACTTAGTTTAAAGGAAAATTTTTGCCTCTTTGGTAACTAATCAATTTTAATATGGTCTTGGACCTGTTTAAGAACCACAAATTGACCAAAGTTGGGTGTGTGTTTGCATGGCTACGTATATACATCTCTGTATATGGCAGTGTTTGCCCCAGTCCTGAGGCAGTAAGCCTTCCATTTTACCAGAATGAAGAGAGAATACTCAGAGAATTTGATATACTCACCTTAAAAATAGTCATGTAATGAGAACTTAAAGTCACTTTTTCTCCTTATTTTCTCTTTCGCTATTTGTTTTAGGGTAACCAGGAGCCAACAACAACTCCTGACGCAATGGTTCAGCCTTTTACTACCATCCCGTTTCCACCACCTCCACAGAATGGAATTCCCACAGAATATGGAGTGCCACACACTCAGGACTATGCCGGCCAGACCAGTGAGCATAACCTGACACTCTACGGAAGTACGCAACCCCACGGGGAGCAGAGTAGCAACTCACCCAGCACACAAAACGGATCTCTCACGGTATGTGAACTATGAGGTGGGAAATGGAAGAGTGCCTGCCATCATATTGAAATCTTCACCTGAATCATCAGCCAGAAAACCCTTTGAATTAATTTAGCATCTACATGACACTACATAGCATGTGTGTAATTTCATTTCTACCCCCTGCGTTGAAATTAGAAGGTAAGTATTTAGAATCTGAGATTACAGTCACTGCCCAGGAGCTTAGGGTCTAAAGACAGAGCAGACAACACAAGGTGAGGGTACACTTAGGTCAGTTTCACCAGGAAGCTTCATTTCGCCACACCTTGTGGTCCCTCCTGTGTTGTCACTGTATACAACCTCTCAGCAGCATTCTGCACATTGCTTCCTCCCTCCTCCTGGACATACTCAGTCTCTTGCTCTTGGCACACCCCCTGTTTCCCTCCTATGCACTGGAAGTTCTCTCTTAGTCCCCTTTGCTGGTTCCTACCTCTCTGTTCAGTTTTTATTTTTTTAATTAAAAAAAATTTTTTTTAAGATTTTATTTATTTATTTGACAGAGAGAGACACAGTGAGAGAGGGAACACAAGCAGGGGGAGTGGGGGAGGGAGAAGCAGGCTTCCCGTGGAGCAGGGATCCCGATGCGGTGCTTGATCCCGGGACCCTGGGATCATGACCTGAGCCAAAGGCAGACGCTTAACTGACTGAGCCCCCCAGGTACCCCTGAATTTTTTAAGTTTTTATTTATTTATTTTTAAAAGATTTATTTATTTGGGAGAGAGAGTTTGCAGGGGAGCGGTAAGGGGGGAAGCAAACTCCCCGCTGAGCAGGGAGCCTCACGTGGAGCTCAGTCCCGGGACCCTGGAATCATGGCCCCAGCCAAAGGCAGACTGAGCCACTCATGGCCACCTCTGTTCAGTTTTTAAATGTTGCAGCGTTCCAGGCCTGTGTCCTAGGACCACCCTCTTCCTCTTATTTTATGTCCTCTCTCTCTATAATTATACTACTAAATTCACCTTGCTGCTCCAGCAAGACCTAGGAGTCTTCTCTCTTTCCTTCGTCTCCACATCCAGTGCATTTGCAAGTCCAGTAACTAACTCAAAGCATTCTCTTCAGCTCTTCTCTTTATCTTAATACTCCAACTGGATAGTGTACATGATTAACAGCTCAGCTCTTCTGCCAGATTTCTTGGGTTTGAGTTGGGCCCTGCTTAGCAGCATGACTTTATTAACCTCTTTCTGTGTTGGCGTGCTCAGTGAGGACAAATACATACCTGTACCTAGAAAAGGAAGACAGCAGTACCTGCCTCTGCTGGCCGCTGGGGGATTTAAAAGAGTTGAAGTCATGTATGGTATCATCACCATCATCCCCATGCTCATCCAGGCCTCATGGCTTATTTCCTGTGTTACTGCTGCCTGCCTGACTATCCCTTCTCCACACGGCAGCCAACATAGTGCTCTGTTTTGTCACACAAACGTTACTTTCCTGCTTAACTCTAACAGTTCCCTCACATACTTACAATAAAATCCAAACTCTGTACTTGGTTTACTAATCCCGGGCCCTAGCCGACCTCTGTGGCTTTGCCTCTTACTACTAACTTGCTAAAGTAAAAGAAATGTCAAAAATCATCCAGTAGGTATATATCACATACATATCAATACACAAGAAGTCATATTGTCTGTGGGATTGCTGGTTTATCTCCAAAGATAAACATGTTCTGTACTCTGGATAGAAAGATCTGTGTCTGGTTTTTAGATTTCTTTTTGCCCTTCCTGTTTCAGATTATCAGGAGAGCCTTATTCAGCCTTTAAACCACTTGATATGATTTACTTCCCAATAAAGAGCCTTACAGTGGAAGCTTTTGTTACATAAGGATGGATTTAACCTTCAAATACTTTCCATTTTCTTTTATTAGTTATTAGACCACAAAGAAATCCATTCTTTCCTTGAAAACATGTTATCTTTTCAGGTTGATCAGTTAAATATAAGCACATAATTTTATACTTCATAAGTAATGGGCTACAGTAGACAGTTTATTAGGAAGATGTAAGCATGATGGGTAACAGGTGAGGATTCCGTAGCATTTGTTCTGGAATCATGAATATATTGGCTGCTATCTTGGCTGCATTTCCAAATCAGTTTCAAATGATTATGAATTCACAGTCTTACCAGAACTACTGTGCAAAGCAGGAATAAAATATAAATCTGAGGCTTTATCAAGTATTTTAATTACTACGTCTATTTCTTTACTAGTTATCTGTCCTTTTTCTATTTTTATTTCTATGTTCTGTTTCACATCAAATCAATCTTGGTAATTTGTGACTTTCTAGGAATTTTTCTTTTTCATCTAAATTGTCTATTTTGTTTGTGTAAAGTTAATTGTAATAATAATCCCATATAATCCTTTTTTTAATTTCTATAGCATCTGTAGTGATATCCCCTCTTTCATTCTTGATTTTGGTAACTGTGCCTTCTTTTTTTGTTGGTCAGTCTAGCTAAGGTTTATTAATTTTGCAGATCTTTCCAGAAAACCAGCTTTTGATTTCATTGATTTTTTTAAAAATCTGTTGTTTTTCTATTTTATATTTCATTGATTTCCATTCTGACCTTTATTATTTCCTTCCTTCTACTAGCTTTGAGTTTGATTTGGTCTTAGGTTTTTGTTTTTGTTTTTTTTTTTAAGTCTCTTGAGTTGCAGGGGAGGAGGAAGGGGGAAGCAGACTCCCCCTGAGCAGGGAGCCCCATGTGGGGCTCAATCCCAGGAGCCTGGGATTATGACCCCAGATCATTGATTTTAGATTTTTTTTCCCTGTCTGATACGTGTTTAAAGCTATACATTTCCCTTTAAGTTTCCCATACAATGTGATACATTGTGTTTTTGTTTTCATTCAAGATATTTTTAAATTTCTCTTTATGATTTCTTCTGTGATCCTGGGTTACATAGACATGTATTTCTTAATTTCCAAATGTTTGAGGATTTCCCAACTTTCTTTTCTTGATTTATAATTTAATACCATTGTGGAGAGAGAACATACTTTGTATGATTCAATTTTTTAAAATTGATTGAGACTTGTTTTAAGGCTTAGTAGATGGTCTTTCCTACAGACTATTCCTAACCAGTTGGCCTTTTCTCAATATGAAATGTCCCTCCCTCTTTTTCTATCATTATTTCTTAAGTCTGTTTTGTCTAATATTATTATAATCACTTCAGGTCTCTTATCATTACTATTTATATGACATCTTTTCCCTTCATTTTTGTCTCAAACTCTTTGAATCTAAGGTGTGTCTCTGGTAAAAAAAAAACAAAAACAATACAACTGAATCTTACTTTAGCCAATCTGAAAATGACTGCCTTTTTATCAGAGTATTTAGTCTATTTACATTTAAAGTAATTGTTAATATGGGTGGATTTATGGCTGCCATTTAACTACTTGTTTTATGTCTCCTATCTTTTATTGTTCCTCTATTCCTTCTTTACTGATTTCTGTTAAATAATTCTTAATTGTACCTTTTAAATCCCTTTGTGATTTTTTAATTAGTTATTTGTGTTGTTATTTTTATATTTTCTTAGTTCTTGATCAAGGATTACATCTTCAACTTATCATAATTTACTGAGGTGTGCACATGCTTGCTTACTTGTGGGTGCACACACACACACGTGTGTGTGTCTTATTCTGGTAAAATATTGCAGCTTTGGTCTCATATAGCTTCATTCCTCACCATCCTTTGTACTATTATTGTCATCTATATTATACATATAAGATCCAGTTGTATGTTTTTTTTACCAGAGACACACTGTAGATTCAAAGAGTTTGAGACAAAATGAAGGAAAAAGATGTCATACGAACAGTAATCATAAGAGACCTGAAGTGATTATATTAATATCAGACAAAATAGATAAAACAAGAATATTGATGGAGACAAGAAATGCAACAATACAGTATTGTAATTATTACTTTAAAAAATGTTATATTTTCAAAGAAAGTTAACCGTTTTCGGTAATCTTCGTATCTTCCTGTGGATTTGAGTTGTATTCTGATATCATTTCCTTTCAGCCTGTAGGATGTCTTCCAGTATTTTCTGTAGACTAGGTCTGTTTGAAACAAATTTTCTGTTTTTGGGTATCTAGGAACTATGTCTTTATTTTTTTCTTCATTTTTGAAGGATAGTTTTGCTCACTGTAGAATTCTTAGTTGACCGTTTTTCACCACTCCCCAGCACTTTAAACCTGTCATCCCACTGCCTTCTGGCCTCTGACAAGAACGAGCTGATTCTCAGGAGTCAGCTATTAATCCTACTGTTCCCCTTTCTGTGATGAATTGTTTTTCTCTTGCTGCTTTCAAGATTTTTATTTTATCTTTGGCTTTGAGCAGTTTGACTCTGATGTGTTTAGGGTGGATCTCTTTGTTTTTATCATACTTGGGATCTGTTGAGATTTTTGGATCTGTAGATTAATATTTTTTATCAAATTTGGGAACTTTTTGAATATTTCTTCAACTATTTGTTCTTTCTCTTTCTCCTCTCTTCCTGGGACTTTCACCACAAATATGTTGGGAACTTGATGTCAGTCACCCACAGGTTCAAGTTCTAGTTTTTTGTTTGTTTTTGAGTTGAATCGAAACAGAATCTAACGTTCTGTTCATTTTTCTTTGATGTTTTTTCTTTCTGTTCACTAGATTGGAGGATTTCTGTTAATGTCTGTTTCAGTCCACTCACATTAAACTGGACATTTTAGTAATATATTGCAGCAGCTCTGAAGTGTTATTTTTTTTTAGAGGTATAGGTGTGTGTATGTGTGTATGTTTTAAGTAATTTGCTTGAACTTAAACTGTGGACTGTGACTTCTCAATGGTGTGCAGCCACTGCTGTTTCTGCACAAAATCTTAGCAATTTTCCCTCTCATTTTTACTTTTTTGCCTGGCGAGGCGTCATCCCTGTGTCTCCCTAGCTCAGTGGTCAGCCAGGGATTTGGGCAGAGGTTGTGTTGAAGCGGCTCCAGCTTGTAACGCTTCTGCCGAACTCTGCCGATCTCTCTGTTT